TGGATTCATGAGGATAGACGTTCAAGCTGCGGGGTTCACCAGGAACCTTAACCTTATCAGTGAAGACTGAGTTCACCTCTGAAAAGAGGGAGCCACATGGCTGGAGTTTGGCCACCAGACGTTCCCTGGCAGGGCTTGGGTCTGGGGCAAGTGGCCCCGAAGCAGGAACAGTCTGGGCCATGCCAGCAGCTGCCTTACAGCCAAACTGCCTTCTTGGCCTCCCTGGACCTGCCTGCATCCTGCCCTCATTCTCCAGCCTTCTGGCTGGTTCCCAGAGCCCCAGAGCCCCAGAGCCCCAGAGACCTTTGTGAAAGTTGTTTAGCACTGGTTTCCACTCATTGCAACCAAGATCCTGAGTGCTTGTATGATACAGCCGATATGGTTAAAGAAAAAAATGAAAAAAGCAGAGACAGGTGTTTGTGCAACAGGACTATGCTGAGAAGTTCCATCGAGTGGCTCTGGCAGAGCCAGCAGGCAGGGGCCACCAGGAGGGACCTCCAGTTCTGCAGCTGAGCAGACCATGAGGGGCCTGGCTCTTCTCGGGCTGGCCGGCTGGTTGTCGTCGGCTCTCAGGGGAGGGTGGGGCAGCTGGGGAACCACGGCCCCACTGGCTCCTTGGAGTAGCTCCCTGCTTGGCCCTGTCCTCACCCTTAGAGAACACGCTGCCCGCACCACCGCATGAAGGGGAGTCCAAGAGAGATTGTGTGGGCTACAATGCACCCAGTGACATCAGGACCAGGCGTGGAGGGGGCGACTCTGATCTGGACACCATCAAGCACATCCCAAGGCTCCAGGCTCAGAGAGGGGCTGGAGGGCATCCATTGGGGCATGGTGTGGACCTGGACGGGAGCCTGGGCACTGGAATCCTGGCCCTTCCCAGACCCAATGAGCCACCACGGGTGTCCTGACCCTAGGTACCCCAGGGGTGCCTGTGCACAGTCGCTCGGAGAAGCCGCAGGTGGACTCAACTCTGTCAAAGGGACTATCATAAGCAGAGCTTGGAGGTCGCCCGTGGTCTCTCTCCCCAGTGTTACCCCCAGGACTTCGCTGTGCTGTGTGGCAGAGGGATTCTGAAGGCGCGGTGCAGATCACCAACCAGCTGACCTTAGAACCGGCAGGCGCCCCAGACCCGACCTCATCACACCAACGCTTTTTTTTTTTTTGAGATGGAGTCTCACTCTGTCACCCAGGCTGGAGTGCAATGGCGCAGTTTTGGCTCACTGCAACCTCTGCTTCCTGGTTCAAGAGATTCTCCTGACTCAGCCTCCTGAGTAGCTGGGATTACAGGTACATGCCACCACACTGGCTAATTTTTGTGTTTTTATTAGAGATGCCATTTCACCATGTTGGCCAGGCTGGTCTCGAACTCCTGACCTCGTGATCCACCCGCCTCGGCCTTCCAAAGTGCTGGAATTATAGGCATGAGCCACCTCGCCCAGCTCACACTAACACTTCAGAAGAGTTTCCTCTGGCAGGTGCAGAAGGGATGGCCAGAGAGAGCCACTCAGGCGGGTACTCACGGGCCACTGTTGCTTGAAGATGGAGGGGCCACCAGGAGCCACCAGGCAGGGACCCGAGAGCAAGCCCTAGGCGCTGAGGGCAGTCTCTCGCCAACAGCTGCAAGAACACGGGGACCCCAGTTCCACACCCACAAGGACTTGGATTCTGAACCAACCAACCCTCGAGGAGGCCTGAGCCCCAGGTGAGGCCCCCCAGGGATCCGGCCCGGCTCCTGACCTGCAGGTGTGAGCCAAAAGATGGCACAGGCTTGTCCATTTGCTTATTCGTATGGTGGTAAAACACACATAACATACCACTGACCACCTGAACTATTTTAGAGTCCAATGCAGCAGCATCCCGTGCAGTCACACTGTTGTGCAAACACCGCCTTGGTCAAGCTCTGGAGCTCGTTCACCCTCCCAAAGGGAGACCCATCGGCAGCTGGTCCCGTTCCCTCCGCCCTCAGGCCCTGGAAGCCACAAATCCTCTCTGTCTCCGGGGTCTGCCTACTCCAGACACTTTACATCAGTGCAAGCTTTTCACATAGTGCAGTCACTTAGCGTCCTGTTTCTTTGCTGTTTTTTTTTGAGACTGAGTCTCTGTCACCCAGGCTAGAGTACAGTGGTGTGATCTTAGCTCACAGCAATCTCTACTTCCCTAGTTCAAGCCATTCTCCTGCCTCAGTCTCCTGGGTAGCTGGGGCAACAGGTGCACACCACCATGACCAGCTAATTTTTGTATTTTTAGTAGAGACGGGGTTTCACCATAGCGGCCAGGCTGGTCTCGAACTCCTGACCTTGTGATCCACCCACATTGGACTCCCAAAGTGCTGGGATTACAGGCGTGAGCCACCACGCCCGGTTTAGCCTCCTGGTTCTGAGGCTAGCCCATGCGCAATGTGTCCGGGAGCTCCGCCCTTTTTCTGGCTGCACATATTCCATGGTGCGTGCACCACAGCCTATCCATCTGCTCCTCAGCCCGCAGACAGTTGGGTTGTTGCCACCTTTTGGCTACCGTGAATAACCTGCTGTGAACGCTCATGTCTGAGGTTTTGTGTGAGCCCGTGTGCTCGTTTCTGGCTGAGCGTCCCCAGGTGTGGAATTGCAGGGTGCTATGGCAACTGTTTAGCTTTTCCAGGAATCGCCAGACCATTTCCACGGCAGCTGCACCATTTCACGCTCCCACCAGGAATGTGCACTGAGCTGGTGCTGTTTCAAGCTGCGAGTTTCTGGTAAGTAGAAAACAGAAAACGAACACAGGGACTGGCCAGAGTGCTGGAACAGGAGGCGGGGTGGTGGCAAGGCTCTCCTCCCTGGCCTCTCAGCCCAGCTCCCAAGCTCCAGGTGGCCTCAACACCTGCTCCCAGCCTCAGCCCCAGCTCCTGGCCTCAGTTCCAGTGGCCTCAGCCTCAGCTCCCAGCCTCAGCCTCAGCCTCAGCCTCAGCTCCCAGCCTCAGCCCCTGCTCCACATCTCAGCTCCACATCTCAGCTCCCAGTCTCAGCTCCAGCTTGCAGATGGATTCAGAAAGGCCCCAGGGGCCTACAGCAATGCCCCAAAACCTTGCAGCTGCAGGGGGTGCGACTGGCCGGCCCCGGGAGGAGTACAGGTGGGAGGTCTAAGCCCCCACTCAGCTAAGTGTGACGCATGTCAGGGCAGGAAGGACACCTGAACACCATGCCCAGGTGTTGACAAGGGCAGAGGCCTGGAGAACGTGAGCAAGAGGGCACCGGAGGACTGACGACACCACAGCCCTGCTGGGGGACAGTGCCTCCCAAATTCAGGTCCCCTGGAACCCAGGAAGGCGATTTGTCTGGAAATAGATCCTCGCAGCTGTGATTAGTAAAGAATGGGATGGGGTCATCCTGGAGCAGAGGCTCTTGCCCTAGCGGTGTCCTTCGAGAAGAGAAGGGGAGACAGCCTCATGACAGAGGCGGCGCTGGAGTGATGCTCCCACAAGCCAAGGAACCCCAGGGAGTGCCATGACACCAGCAGCCAGGCAAGGAGGACAAGGAGGACCAGGGGCAACCGTGGCCCTGAAAGGCTGACCTCGGCTTCCAGCCTCCAGCACAGCGAGACAGTGCATTCCCGTAGCTTAAGCCGCCTCGCCTGTGGGACACTCACCCCCAACTAAAGGCCCGGCCGTGATGGGAGGGGAGCCATGAGGCCGCAGCCCTGGGGAAGGCTGTCCTTGGTCTTCCAGAGGCAAGGAGCTGCAGAACTTCCTGAGGGACACTCAGCTCTGCGCAGGCCACCTGGGCTTGCCCATTTCCGCCTGGCAAGTCCCTTGGTGTTTACTTTCTCCCAGTCCAGGGAAACTCCACACCCAGGGCTTGGGATTCAGGTCAGGAGAATATTCCCCCAGCAGCCAACCGCGGCCACAGGGAGGAAGTTGAGGCTGACCTTTCTCAGGTGCAGAGGCACTCGGCCTGGCAGTGGAGGCAGGAAGGTGGCTCTGCCCTGCTCCTGCCCCGAGACTCCGTGCCACAGACCACCTGCCCTGGGGCCTTCCTGGCCTCGTGGTCCTGGACTTTGGCGCCGCTCTTGGTTTGTACTAGGCCTGTCTTTGGCTGGGCTGAGGGTATTGGTAGGGAGATTTGGGGGTCCCAGGCAGAAACCTGTAAGAACCTGTGGTCCCCGGACCTTCTCAGCACCTGTCACCAGGTCACATCTGATTTGCTGGACCTCATAGCAGGGTCCAGATCAAAATGCCGGCCGGGTGCGGTGGCTCATACCTGTAATCCTAGCACTTTAGGAGAACAAGGCGGGAGGATCACTTAAGGCCAGGAGTTCGACACCGGCCTGGCCAACATGGTTGAAACCCCAGCTCTACTAAAAATACAAAAATTAGCTGGGCATGGTGGTGGGTGCCTGTAGTCCCACGTATTCAGGAGGCGGAGGCATGAGAATTGCTTGAACCCAGGAGGTGGAGGTTGCAGTGAGCAGAGATCATGCCACTGTACTCCAGCCTGGGTGATAGAGCAAGACTCTCTCAAAAAAAAAAAAAAAAGAAAGAAAGAAAATGCCTCCCTCCTGGGACAGTCTCTGAGACGCAGCCTCCCCCTGAATCACACACACACACACACACACACACACACACACACACACACACACACACAGCAATGGCAGCCCTGCAGAGAGCCAGGCCTCGGAAGTCTGGACGTCCGAGGGACAGGGAGGCGGGGGCGGGCCACGGCCCCACACAGCCGCCACCTGCATTTCCCCTTTCCCAGAACCAGCTGGCGCAGGGGAAGTGGCGGGGGGGTGGTTTCGGTTCCTCCTGATCTCGTCAAGTCGCTTGTCTAGAACCTTCTTTCTGCTCATAACGATAGCCGGAGATGTCGCTAACCAGCTCCCACCTCTGCCTGCCTGCTTCAGGCCTGCTGTCCTTGATCCCTGGCATCCTTACTGAAGTTTTGCAGGAAACCTGGATGAAGGCCAAGGCCCCCGCAAGGGACCTGGGCTCTGACACAGACAGACAGAGCTGGCCGGAGTCCGGCCCCTGTGCAGCCTGGGCCTCCATTCTGCACTGGTGTCATGTGGTGAGTCGGTGCCGGCCAGAATCCTGAAAGACCTGATCCCCAACACCAGCTCCCCAAATCCTCGACTCTTGAAAAATCAAAATCTAACATTTTGGTGTTTTGGCCGATTTCTTTGTGAATGGTTCATCGCGTGTGACTCATACACGTGAGTGAGCACACCCATGTGTCTGCGGCTGAGAAAATGTTATGATCTCAACTTTATCAGGTAAAGTGGCCTATGAAGGGTTCTGTCGTGTTTTTCTGCTTCTCAAATAAAATAAACCCCATGAAAAAAGTAAATAATACATTTCTTTCACAGAATTGGTTTTCTGTTTTTCTTTGTTTAGACAGGGTTTTGCTCTTGTTGCCCAGGCTGGAGTGCAATGGCGCCATCTCGGCTCACTGCAACCTCCGCCTCCCAGGTTCCGGTGATTCTCCTCCTCCGCCCTCCGAGTAGCTGGGATTACAGGTGCTCGCCGCCATGCCCAGCTAATTTTTGTATTTTTAGTAGAGACAGGGTTTCACCATGTTGGCCAGGCTGGTCTCGAACACTTGACCTCAGGTGATCCACCTGCCTCAGCCTCCCAAAGTGCTGGGATTACAGGCATGAGCCACCATGCCTGGCTACAGAATATTTTCAAATTGCTTTTCCAGAATTATAGTTTTGGGATTTTGACCTTTCAGGGTGTCGGCATTCAGAACCGTGTCCAGGGATCGTGGTCCAGACCCACAGGCCTGGGCATGTGCTTTCGAGGGTTCCGAAGACAACTCAACAGTGTGCCCAACCTGCTGGTAAGGACTCAGGAGGCCTCCCCTGTCCTTGTCACATGCATGGGAGGGGACTCTGGATCCCTGGCATGGCTGGTCTGGGAACTGGGGAAGGATGGGCAGTGCCCGGTGTGCAGGCTCCGGTACCCACGTTAGCACGTGTCTGTTACTGTGAGACTCTACCCCATGGACACCTGTGGCTGTGGCACACACCTTCCCACTACTGTCCCAGGAGTGACACTTTCTGATTCTAACATCAGTGTGTGCACATTTTGGGAAAAGCAGCAAGTACAGGAGAAGAATTTAGGCTGGGCACAGTGGCTCATGCTACAATCCCAGCACACGGGGGCGTCAAGGCGGGAGGATCGCTTCAGGCCAGGAGTTTGAGATCAGCCTGGGCAACATAGTAAGACCTCGTCTCTATTTAAGAAAAGAAAAAGACCACTTGTCCTCCCAGTCTTTTTTTTTTTTTTTGAGATGGAGTCTCGCTCTTGTTGCCCAGGCTGGAGTGCAGTGGCACAATCTTGGCTCACCGCAACCTCTGTTTCCCGGGTTCAAGGGATTCTCCTGCCTCGGCCTCTTCAGCAGCTGGGATTACAGGTGCCCACCACCACGCCCAGCTAATTTTTGTATTTGTATTTTTATTTTTAATTAATTAATTATTTTTGAGATGGACTCTTGCTCTGTAGCCCAGGCTGGAGTGCAGTGACCCCCTCTCGGCTCACTGCAACCTCCGCCTCCTGGGTCCCAGTTCAAGCAATTCTCCTACCTCAGCCTCCCAAGTAGCTGGGATTACAGGCATGAGCCACCATGCCCAGCTAATTTTTGTGTTTTTTAGTACAGACAGGGTTTCACCATGTTGGCCAGTCTGGTCTTGAACTCCTGACCTCATGATCTGCCTGTCTCGGCCTCCCAAAGTGCTGGGATTATAGGCATGAGCCACACCACGCCTGCCAATTTTTGTATTTTTAGTACAGATGGAGTTTCACCATGTTGGCCAAGCTGGTCTTGAACTCCTGGCCTCAGGTAATTCACCCACCTTGGCCTCCCAAAGTGCTGGGATTACAGGCATGAGCCATGGCACCTAGCTCTTCCCAGTCTTTAAAAGATGTTTCCATTAACATGGCAGAGGTCACAATGAATGACCTAACAAACACATGTAAACACACTCCAGGAATCCTGCCATGTCATCATGGGAACCTGCACATGTTTTCCCACGCTGGGTACCCTGTGTGGACAGAGGCTGGCCGGCAGCAGGGCAGGCTGAGGTCCCCAGTGGGTGGGGACAGCTGGGGGGTAGCAACTCAATGGCCCTATCCAGGGCTGCGTCCCGGCAGAAGGTGGGGTCTGCCAGGGGTGGAGGTGGTGGCTGCGGATTCCGTCGTCTGGTCCGCGGCGTTCCCCCCAACGAAGCCCTGACCCTCTCCCCTTCACCACTCTTGCAGGGGTCTCCTGACCCCAGCTGCTACCTCCAGCAGTTCCCCAGCCCCCAGGATGGTCCTTCAGGACCCTAGGGGGAGTCCCATCCACAAGGACGGCTCACCGGTCCCCTGCCACAGCCAGTGAGGACGGGGTCCTGCAGCCGAAGTGGTGCGTGCTGAGTGTGGTGTCCCTGGCAGGCTGCGAGGGTGCCCCCGGCTGCCCAGTTAGTGAGACTGGGTTGGCAGGATGGTGATGGGCCCAGATTCTGGGACTGACAGCCTGAGCCCAACCCCTGCATCCCGACTCGTGGGGCTCCGCCACCTGGAGGCAGCTTGTGCCCCTGGCTCTGCCTCCTTTTCTGCCGCAGTGCCTGCTGGACTCTGGCCCGAAGTGGGGGCCACGGTTGACACAGCTGGAGACCAGCCCACTGGTCAGGTCAGTGCTGTCTGTCCTCTGCACCAGACGGCTTCTCCTGGCAAGGAGGGCTCCCCCGCCCCCGGGCTCTGTGCCAGCCGGAGGTTCTGCAGGAGCTGCTCACTTCCTCCTGCCAGCCAGGGCAGCCTGGGGACAGCTCCAACCTGGAGAAACTAAACTCAGGGCAAGTCCCTGGCTACTTCCCTGGAAAGTCCCAGCGGAGTCCCCACTCCTTCCCGCCGGCTCTCAGGGTGCTTTATCTCAGAAGGGGATTTCTTCCTCCTGAGATTCTCGTGGCCACACGGTGCCTGTCACATGTCCACCTCACGCTGTCCTGGCTGTCACCAACTTGTCCAATGGTCAGAGGGTTTGAACCAGGGGACTCTGTCCTGAATAGGGGAGATTGAGGCTGGGACCTGCTGGGCCGCATTCCCAGGAGGTTAAGGCATTCTTAGTTACAACACAGGAGGTTGGCACCAGACAGAAGTCACAGGTACCTTGCTGACACACAGGTTGTAGTGAAGAAGCCGGCCAAACCCCATCAAAACCAGGATGGCGGTGAGCGGGACTCTGGTTGTCCTTGAGGCTCACTAGGCACTAATTCCAACACATTCGATGCTACAAGACACTCCCACCAGTGCTGTGACAGCTTGCAAATGCCATGGCAATGTCTGAAAGTTACCCTACATGCTCTAAAGCAGGGAGGAAGCCTCAGTTCCGGGAACTGATCACCCCTTTCCCAGAAAATTCATGAATAACCCACTCCTTGCTTAGCATATAATCACGAAATAACCAAAGTAACCATGAGCACATTCAGGGGGGCCCCGGCTCTGCCTCTGGAGCAGCGGGTCTTTATTCCCTTACTTTATGAATACACTTTCTATTGGCTGTCTGGACTCCCCCAAGTTCCTTACTGTGTGAGGTCTGATAACCCTCTCTCGGGGTCTGGATCGGACTCCTTTCTGGTAGCACAGGCCACACACAGACGTCTCTGGGGGGTGGGCAGGCCACGGAACAGGTCACACACATGTCTCTGGGGGGTGGGTGGGCCACGGAACAGGCCACACATGCCGAGGCTGAGTGCCACCCCACGAACTCACCATCAGGGGCAGGCCACCCACACGACCCGGCAGCCCCATCACACTGCAGTGCACCAGCACAGAAGGCTGCCCGGCCCAGCTCTCTATGCTGCCTCGATTTCCCCATTTCTAGGCCTTGCTTGGGACGAAGGTGACTGCACACCAGATGCCTGCACATGCCAGAGCAGAGCGGGGCCGCCTGGAGCGTCAGGCAAGGCGGGAACACAGGCTGTGGGGAGAGGAAGGTCCAGCCCCAGAACGCAAGGTGTCCCGGGCTCCTGGCTGGCGGGGCCTGGTCCCTGGTCGGAGATGTAGAGGCGCAGGAGACAGGGTTCGCTGTAGGGACCCAGCCCGGTGGCCTCGGGGGGTCACAGGGTCCCCCAGGGCTCAGCCTTGGTCTCTGCTCTCTCTCTTCCTCTGAAGAAGTTTGTGCTGTTGGTCACTTTGCTTTATTTATTTCTGAGACGGAGCCTTGCCCTGTCACTTGGCTGCAGTGCGGTGGCGCGATCTTGGCTCCCTGCAGCCTCTGCCACCTCCTGGGCTCAACAAGCACAGAAGGGACATCGGCTCGTGCCAGGCCCTGGGTCCCCGCAGGAACCACGTGGGCGAGGCCCTGCCCCCTGGAGCTGAGGTTCTGGGGGAGAAAAGAGACCAGGAGGCAGCTGGTACAAGTGTGTGCGGGCAGTGAAGCCTTAAGCAAGCGCGGAGGAGAAGCAGCTGGAGCCTTCCAGGCAGAATGGTCTCTGCAAAGGCCCTGGGGCAGAGGTGCTCAGACACGGCCAGGGGGCTGAAGGCAGAGGGCTGGAGGGTGGGAGGCGCCCCCCGGCTCCTGGTGGCTCTTCTAGGGTATGGACCTGGGCCGCTCCACTTTCTCACACCCGGGGTTTCCCCAGGAACCTTCTCTGTGGCAAAGAGCCTGTCCTGGAAAGTCCCGACCACAAGTCACCGAGGAAAGGTCAGCTCCAGGCTGTGGCCGGGCCAAGCCTGTGCCCTATGGCGCTCCTGAGGCTGGGGCCAGCGACCCTGACTCCTGCTCCAACCCCTCTGTGGGTGTGGGAGCCTGGGGGCTGCACTCCCAGGAAGTACCACTGAGGCCTCGGCTCTCAGGCTGCCACAGGGCCTCTCCCACGGAGACAGTGAGGCAGCAAAGCCAAAGTTACAGCCTCCCTCACCCCCTACCCAAGCCCTCTGCCCTCAGGTGTGCAGCCACACCCAAGGGTGCCAGGCCTGGGGTCCTGGGCGTGAACATGAGGGGGCCCGGGCAGGGCAGACCGGGGAAAACCCGGGGTCCAGGAACGAGCAGGCCGGGAGGGTGAGAGGTATCCCGAGTGCCGGAGGCCCTCTGGGAAGTGACCTTTACTCTGAGGGTGACAGGAGAGGCACACAGAGGCAGCAGGGACTCAGGGGAGCAGGAGAGCTGGGCGAGCACCTGACCCCTCCGCTGGCTCCCACTGCCCCTCGTCCAGGCCCAAGAGAGCTGGCCAACACCTCCTGGGGCAAAGTCCCCAGGTGAAGAGCAGCTGCTCTAAGATTTAACGTCCAGCTTGTCACAAAGCCAGGGAGGGGAGGGAGGGATAAGTGGTTATAACAGACGCTGGGACGGTGATCAAACCTGGGGACAGCACATCCTCTCAGCAAATTCAGCGCCGCTCTTGAACGAGCTGGGCACGATTCCAGAGAGGAGCCCAGTGAGAGAACCTGGGGGCATCCGAACGTGAGGGGGAGGCTCCATGTTTTCCGAAGGCGATGATGTCATTGTGGCAACACGGGGAGTGTCCTCGATCCTGGAAGTTTGCTGACTGATGTATTTAGGGCCAGTGTGCAAATGTCTGCAGCTTGCATTCAAAAATGGCACATGAAAAAAGAATGCGAATGGAACGTGGGTCCTGAAAAAGGCTGAGACTTTCGCATGTTTCCTGACGGGAGGGGCTGGGCGGCCACACTCTACTCTTCACACTTCTACACACGTCGCAGTTCTCACAACACGCACACGTCGGGATGGCTGTCACCAAAACAGAAAATCACAAGTGCTGGCAAGGCTGTGGCGAGGACGGACCCCTGAATGCTGCTGCTGGGAGGGTGAAATGGTCAGCCACCGTGGGAAGCAGCACGGTAGTCCCTGAAACAGCTAAAATAGAATGACTGGGCCAGGGGCAGTGGCTGACACCTGTAATCCCAGCACTTTGGGGGGCCGAGGCAGGAGGATCACTTGAAGCCAGAGCTCACGAGCAGCCAGGGCAAAATGGCAAGACTCCGTCTCTACAAAAAATGAAAAACTTAACCGGCCATGCTGATGCCCACTGGTAGTCCCGGCGACGTGGGAGGCTGAGCTGGGAGACTTGCCTGAGCCCAGGAGATTGGGGTTACAGTGAGCTGTGATCACGAAGCTGTGCTTTAGCCGAATTCTGCAGCAGAAATGAAGACTTTGGTGACATTGGTGTAGACTGTCTTATGCTGGCTGAAGAAATGTTTAATTCTCTAATTCCTTTTTTCACTCTAGGTTTTTTCCAGAAGCGTTTGGTGGTGTTAGATCCCCTCCGTAGTCTCTGCACTGGGGTAGAAATTCTGCCTTTATGCATCGGACCCGCTCCTGATTCTCTGGAATCAGATCTGTCCCTACGGACAGACCAAGCTTCCCGGATGCCAGCGGTGTTGGGGAAGCCGACGCTGCTCCTGCAGCAGGACGCCTGAGGACACGGCCTGCTCCCTCACGTCAAAACAGCCTCTGGGTCCTTGTCCCAGGGCAGAACAGCCTCTCCTAAGTGCGAACGGGGAACAGAGGATTAACACTGTCACCTAAGGCAGAAGCCCTGCAAGCCCGTGGGTGCTCAAGGCCGATTTTTTACCCTCCATGACCACAAAAGAAACCATTCTTTGTTGGGGTAGAAGAGCATGAACCCTCTTTAGAACAGGTAGTGTTGGCTGGGCGCAGTGGCTCATGCCTGTAATCCCAGCACTTTGGGAGGCGGGGGCAGGCAGATCACCTGAGGTCAGGAGTTCAAGACCAGTCTGGCCAATATGGCGAAACCCTGTCTTCACTAAAAATACAAAAATTAGCCGGGCGTGGTGGCATGTGACTGTAGTCCTGGCTACTCGGGAGGCTGAGACAGAAGAATTGTTTGAACGTGGGAAGAGGAGGATGCAGTAAGCCAAGATCGCGCCACTGCTCTCCAGCCTGGGTGACAGAGTGAGACACCATCTCAAAAAAACAAAAAGCAAAAGAATGGAGCAACCCGTCTGCATGACACACATCACACCGGCGGGATCTCGCAGACTTTCCCACACTGGGCGCCCATTTTCCGGTGTGGCTGTCTGCTGTCTGTGGATGTCCCCAAGTGGTCTGAGAAGTTTCCATTAGAAGAAATTAGACATACTGTAGTTTTTAAATCACTGAGCAATCACTTACTAGTTACAAGTCACTTATTAGACAGACTTGAACATTTCATGTGCACAAAGCGACAAAGGGTGTGGCCTCTTGCCATTCGCACCTAGGCCTGGGCCATTTGTCCTACAATTCCTGGTTTGGCACAGGAAGTCGGGCGGCGCAGTGCCAGTCCCAACCCCATTGCGTTCTGAGTGGCGGGCAAATGAATCGTTTTTTGCATTTACTAGGCAATTTATAGTTTGTATGCTTTACACCAGTCATGGTTTTAGACTCTTAGGATGCAAGGTAAATAAGAAAGTTGCTCTGGGCAAAGAGAGAGACCCTGTTTCTAAAAAAATAAAAATAAAACAACACAATTACCATATGATCAGCACTTCTGCTTCTGTGAGCGCCTCGTGCTCTGAGCTTCCAGCCTTTAAGCTGGTTCTCAATCGGACCCCAGGGTCCTTTCTAGAGAGAAGTCCCATCCACGTCACCCTCCTAGCTTGCGTGGCTGCAAGCGTGGGTGCCGTAGCAGCGGGCAGGGGCGGCTGGGCTTGGTGAAAGGGGGACTGGGGCCCTCCTTGCTCCTGGGGCCGCTGGCTCCGTTGCCCTGAAATCAGACCCATGCCTTGCACTTCCTGAGTGTTTCCTGTGACCGAGGGATCAGAGTTTTGGCTGTGAGGGGGGTGCTGTGGCCAGGGACACACAGAGCCATCGCTCCCGCTTCCAGGGGGCCCTGGGGTCCCTTCCCACATCTCCCTGGGGGCAGCCACCACACCTACTCTGTGCCGTCCATCAGACCCCTCTGCTTCACAGCTCATACCAAGCTGGGGGGCGCTGGGGGCCAGGGCAGGTGTGGCCATGTGACCAGGAGGACCTGCTGGTGTCTTCGGTCACCATCGGGTGCCCCTAGGACTGTGGTCAGCAGGGTGGAGCGCCTGATCCAGCTTTACTGCCTGCTGCAGCCAGCGGGGGCCTTGAAGACCCGGCCTCACCCACAGCCCCTCCTCCAGAGCCCCCAGCTGCTCCCTCCTAATCTCTCCTCCCAGGAGTCGGGGTCCCACCTGGCCCCTGGGGCCCTGGGGAAGGGGTTCTGTGGAGCAGCTAATTATCCCTCCCTCTCCCGCCCCTCGGCCCAGGGCCTGGCTCCCTGCCCCTGCATGTCATTCCTGGGGGTGGAGTGGCCTCCCAAAGCCCAAGTCGCCTGCGCACCCAGCCCCTCGCGCAGGCCTGGGCGTGGAAGCGAGCCAGGCTGGCTCCGGCAGCCCTCAGAGCTTTCATTTCAGCGCCGCACGCTGGCCAAGTTCAACATCCAGGGGGATAAACAGGTCCCGTACACAGCCTGCACCAGGCAGCTGCAGCTCAGGAGAACCCGCTGGGCCAGAGCTGCCCACAGCGTAGGGCGGCCTCTGCGGGCACACCTGACCCTAGGTGACCAGAGTGGGGCCCTCTCCTGACGCTCAGGCAGGCACTGACATGGTCTCGGCCTGAGCAGGTGTCTGCCTGTCACTGCATCTCAGCGACTGGTGCCACGATTTTGTGCTGACAACAATCCCCACTCTGTGGCCACCTGCCCGCCCCACAGGCCCCTCGACCTGAGATGCCAGCGGAGGGGCCTAAGATGAGAAAGCCCGGCCAGCTTCTCCACTGGTGCTCCCCCGTGCCAGTTGGACCCCTGAGGCTTCAGGGTCACACGCCTTCAGATTCTGCTGGCTCTGGACTGGGTGCGGGGAGGACCCTCTCTGCAGCTCGACACCATGTGAAACTCACCCTGCTCTAGGAAACAGGTCTGAAGACTGGGCGGCGGAGGTGGAGGCAGGCACCCGCCATCCTCAGTGCCAGGACCCTGGCTTCCATCCTGCTGCACCAGGAGGAGGCAGCAGGGCTGCGGTGTCCAGCTGAAGGTGTCAGGGACTGAGGTCCGACCCACTCCTGGTGCTCAGAGGGGTTCTCTGTGATGGAGAGAGCACAGGTTCGTGCTGCGCTGGACTCGGCCGGGTTGGCCCTAGGCTGAGGCCCCATCGAGAAGAGGTGCCATGTCCCTTGGCCACAAACAAGCACAGCTGTGTGGGCCAGGGTGCTGGGGAGATCCAACCCTGCTCCAAGAGCTGGCAAGGGCTAAAGCCCGGAGGTGGGGCCTGCGGAGGGGCAGTGCCCACGGAAGCACAGTGAGGGGGCCGCGTGGGCTGAAGCATCCAGGAGGCAAGACCTCAGGAGGGGGCAGCCACCTGGACCCTGGAGAGCCACCATGCAGTGTCCCGAAGCTCTGGGCATTGAGGAAGACTTATCAAGGAAGCCAGAGAGAACTGGGCATGGTCAGAAGCGGGCTGGCCGGGCCGGCAGGGGTCGAGGGTCTGGGAGTGGGGTCGCTGCTGTGTGGGCACCACAGGCTGAGTAGAGCCCCTCGGGGAAGGACCCACCAGCCCCCCATATGGAGATCCCTTCCACCCCTGGCTCTGGGAGTCAGCCCTTCAACCAAAGTGCTGCCCGGCGGCTGCCCATCTGAGGAAGGGGCCCACACCAAGAGGCAGCAGTGCCCATTTGAGGAAGGGACCCACACCAAGGGGCAGTGCTGCCCAGGGGGCCAGGGCCACCTCCCCTTCTGTGGGCCCTGGGAGTGGAGAGGAAGCAGCTTCCTTTTTCTCCCCCAGCCCAAGATATGGAAAAGTGGGGCTCGGCCGGGCACAGTGGCTCACGCCTGTAACCCCAGCACTTTGGGAGGCCGAGGCAGGTGGATCTCCTGAGGTCAGGAGTTTGAGGTCAACCTGGCCAACATGGTGAAACCCTATCTCTACTAAAAATACAAAAATTAGCTGGGTGTGGTGGTGGGCACCTGTAATCCCAGCTACTTGGGAGGCTGAGACAGGAGAATCACTTGAACCCAGGAGGTGGGGGCTGCAGGGAGTCGAGATCTGGCCATGGTACTCCAGCTTGGGCCACAGAGTAAAACTCTGTCTTAAAAGAGAAAAAGAAAAGTGGGGCTCATACCGCATGCCACAGGCACCTAACACACAGACCCCCGTGTGTCCAGGCCCCCGTGTGTCCAGGCCCCCGTGTGTCCAGGCCCCCGTGTGTCCAGTCTGAAGAATCCCACAGAAAAGCAGCCCACACATGGGAACCCACATGGCTCTCCACAGTGCGGCATGGCTACAAAATATTCACAGCCCTGAATCCATGTCATTTCTGAGAAAATACTCCAGGGAAAAGACCTCACAGGCCAAAATGTTCTTCTCCACATTATTTTAATCAGGAAATATTGCAAACGATCCCAATGCCAACTACAACAGTGGGGCGGAGGAACTTTCTGCTGACGCCGCTGGAGAAAGTATCTCATGGCCCTCGGTGGCCCTCGGTGGCCCCAGGGATGGGGACTGGGCCAGGGCAGGCCGTGCCTCACAGGGAGTTGCAGAGAAGCCAGACTGCAGGGTTGGGCAGTGAGAAGCAGGGGGGCTCCTCCGCCCTCAGACTTGCAAGCATGGACCGCGGCCCCTAACCTGACAGGACTCACCATCACACTTTTCTCATTTCTCAGGGTTCAGTACTCAGCCTGCGTCTCCTGTCCAGCAGCAGCTCAACATTATGCCACGAGGCGCCAGCTCTGAGGAGCGCTTGGCAGTCCTTCCTCCTCCCAGCCTGGAATCATCGCCCGGGCCCTTCCCTCTCAGAGCGGGGACCTCTCTAGGGAAAGGAAGGGCTTTCCAGGGCAGCCCCAGGCCCAGCAGGCACCCGCTTCCTGCATCTCCTGGGCAGCTTCACTTTGAATTAGGGGGCATCGGGGCCGAGCCCAAAACAGGAGGGCAGCGAGGGTTCTGACACTGTGGACTCGGCCAGGGAGGGGCCACCCACAGCCACCTGTCCCGAGTGTGAGCATTCGGGTGTTTGTGGGCTCTGGGGAAGGGGCTGCAAGGAAGCGGGTCTGGAACTTGGTGCTGAAGCCCAGGACCCATGCAGGGGTCAGAGGGGGCAGGGACAGAGCAGGAATGAGGGCCAGGACAGGGACTGGGGACAGGGGCGGGGATGGGGTGGCAGAACAGGGACAGGAAGAGGGACAGGGACGGTGCAGCCTCCACTGCTGCCCTCTCGGGGAGCCTGGCTCCCTCCTCGCCCGGCCACTGCTCCTGGCACCGAGCTGAAGGGACTGGAGGCTGTGATGCTCTCTCTGTCCAGCTCTCTCCATCTCCCTCTCTCAGGCGACTCATGTGATAAAGAATCGACCTTTCGGAGACATTCTGTGCTCTCAATAAAAATAGCCCCTGGCTGGAAACCCCCGAGGAGCCTGACTTCCTCCCTGGGCCGTGGCAGCCCTTCTGCACCTGCCCTGTGCTGGCCCCTCCTGCAGGAACCGGGTGGGTACGGGGACCCAGGACCACGGGGAGGCTCCAGAGAGCCCTGTGGGCACCTCCAGCAGCCGCCAGGGGGCGCTGTCCCCCACACCTCATCTGTGCGCTTCCCCGGGGTGGCAGTCAGACTTCCCGAATGCAGAGGCTGCTGGGAGGGGCCCCGAAGCCCCCCAGGTCCCCTCGTGTTCTCCACTCCCCGTCCCCCGCCTAGCCAGCGAGGGCTCTGATTCCCCGAAGCCAACGGTGCAGCCCACCTGGGCCTCTGGGGAGCCAGATCAGCTCTGCCGGGACCCCAGGTGCGGGAAC